CCCCAATGTTTATGCCAAGTTGATGCATCTGTGATATTTGCATGCCAGTCAGATAGACATAAATGCAATAGATATTAGGATGTTAGGGTTTGTAATCCAAGTGAGAATATATCAAGGGTGGGTTGACTACAAAATTTTTGTAGTTCGCTATAACTACAGCTACTTCAAAAATATGTAGTCAGCTACAACTACTGCTACTTTTGAACAAAGGTAGTTCGCTACTGACTACAGCTACTGCTTAACAAATGTAGCGAACTATTTCGCTATTTCGCTACGCTATATATTTTAGTTCTACTGTATTTGGAGCATCTACTAACTCAGGCTGTAATGTAACCTATAGCAAATCGACTTACGAGTAGCAACAGTAAGCACAAAGCAACATTTTTGTAAGCACTACAGTGTTCAGGAGTGCAAATTGACTATTGAGTATTGATATTACCTCAATATCATGCTATTCTATCAAGTTGCTAACAATTTTAAAAAGTAGCGAATAGCGATCCGCTGTTTGAAAAGTAGTCAACTACTTGGCTACTTTTAGGCAAAATGTAGTTCGCTATAACTACAGCTACCGTTTTAAAAAAGTAGTCAAAAACTACTGGTCCTCTGGTAGGAATCGAACCTACGGCCCTGCGATTCCGGAGCAGCGGTCTAACCAACTGAGCTACAGAGGCCAGCTGATGAGCTGTAACCGTAAGTTCATGTATATATAGGTAATCGGGTGTGCGGGTTGTGATAAGGTGGACTTGAATGACTTAGTTCTTGCACTTCACTTGGTGGAATTAATATTAGGATGTTAGGGTTTGTAATCCAAGTGAGAATATATACATTTTAAGACCTAACCAGGAACGACTGCGAAAAATGCAGCACAAGGTCCTCTGGTAGGAATCGAACCTACGGCCCTGCGATTCCGGAGCAGCGGTCTAACCAACTGAGCTACAGAGGCCAGCTGTTGAGCTGTAACCGTAAGTTCAGGGACGCCGGAACGTTGTGAAGGCAAGGGGTTCAGATTTTCGTGAAAGGGCACTTTTGAATTGATATATACTAAGAGATGTTTGCAAAACATCGGGAGTTGAACTTCGCTTAATCATGTTTTCTATTTTTGGATGATAGGGATGTGAGGAGGTTCTCCGCTAGGCGATTGTGCCATTCTTGAAGCTTGATGACTGCATTTCTTGCGTTTTCTGAAGCAAATTCGTAAAAGAATTGCACTAACATTTCTGACAATTCGCTATTTCACCAAGGCAATCCTTTAAATTGAAAGGGCACCTTTGCCCCCCTTGTCCCTCCTGGTAAAGGGCAACGGGGCGGCTGCCCCTCCTGCCCCCCAGTTCCGGTGTTCCTGCGTAAGTTCATGTATATATAGGTAATCGGGTGTGCGGGTTGTGATAAGGTGGATTGTTTCTTGAAATCTGTTTGGTGCAGTGGCGTAGCCAGCCCGACAATAGTCATGCTATGAAAATATTTCCGTTTTCAAAGACCATGAAAACAATCAATTTCTAAAGAAATGAATAATGATAAATGATTTTAAATTTGCATAGCATGACCAAATTGTTGGGCTGGCTACGCCACTGGTTTGGTGCATTCCAAACTTGCATAAAAACATATCCTTCTTGTACGCCTTCATGGGGCCAAAAAAAATATGTGGGTTTCCGGTTTCCCGACCCTACCTAGCTTTTGGACGTCGAAATCCCGACCCTAAACTTTTTTATTGGATCATGCTTGTAAGTGTTTCCACTTAGAGGAAAAAGGTTGTGGAAAATTGAAATTTGAGGCAATATTAGGGAAATTTATCTTTGGATGTGGAAGCACTGACTAAACAAAATGGCGTCCGCTTATTCGGAAAATTAAAAAAAAAGTTTAAAAAAAAAGTTAAAACCGACCTACGGTACCCTACCTAAGTTTTTATAAGAAGAAACCGGAAACCCACATATTTTTTTTTTGGCCTGGACGGTCCCAACAAAAACCAAATTAGGAATATAAAATTGTTTGTAGCAATGTTACAGCAATGTTACTTGTGTGCTGCAGGGCAATGAATTAATTCTAATAAGGAGAACAATAAACAAATTAAGTTTATCTTTAATAAATGCCAAGCACCCTTCTGGAAAGTACTTATGTAAAATTGGGTCGTTCCAGAAAAGATCTACACTCCCCCACAGGGAAATTTCTGCCGTCCGGAGGGGGAGGGGAAAAATTGTTTCTGATAATAGTAAATGTATTAGGACATCCGAAGGGGGTAGGGGGGTTAACTTCCTATTTCCTCCGTGGGGGAGGTATGGATGTTTTCTGGAATGACCCATTGTTAGAAAATTCGGAGCGCTCATTTTGCATTTATAAATGGCAATCTTTATTGAACAATATTTGTCATTTCTTTCTAGTAAACCCAGCTCAGAGGTTATGAAAGAGTACACAAGAAGGATTGAATTTTTAAAGCATACGATTGACACAGAGAAAATGGTACATGATATGGTTCCTAACTTTTGTTAATGTAATTTAAACATTTCCATTTCGGCTTTCAGCTGAGGATATAAAATGCAGGCCTTAAAATATCGGTCGGTCACGGACATTGTCCGACCCATTCGTGAAATTGTCCGACGTACTGAGGAACCCACCGGACATTCTGTCCGACCTAGGTGAAACTGAGGTTTATTGTTTGTCTAACCAGAGTGTATTGCTGTCCAACCGAACTGTAGCTTTGTGCAACGTAAATCAAAATGTACCCTATCCCGGGACTACTGTATAGAGGCTTGTATGTTAAATGGAAAATCAGAGTGCTATTGTATAAAAGGTGAACTGGAAATGTTGTTTTAACATAGTCGAGCGCGGGGCAGCAAGCGAAATGGTGAAGTTGAAAACGGGCTTAAGTTGTCGAAGTCTTTTTAATACTGCTCTTCTGGAAAGCAAGTTAATTTTCGCTTGGAAATATGTATGACAGAAACAAACTTTTTAATACAGTATCTTCACAACATTTACCGTTCAGAATTGATACATTGTGCTGATATTCATTTGTGCCATTCAGACTTATTTCCGAGTCAAAACTGAACTGAAGGTCATTGGACATATGTCCGACCCAAACTCAACGTCATCGGACATTTTGTCAGACGGCCCTGTAAAAGATATTTTAAGGCCTGTAAAATGTGTTTATCTCCACTGTACAATGAAAACATGTATGTTAAGCATGCACCAGCGCTCTTCCCTGAATTGTCTGGCATTGGACAGAGCAAAATAATAAAGTACAGCGCACATTTACTAGCAGAGTTAACTTAGAGAACACACCATTGAGTGGTAGCACTCTCCCTTTGACAAGTACAGGTGTATGTACCACAGAATACCACGGTACCACAGAACACCAGTCTTATTCATTTCTTATATAAAATTTGAAGGAAATATGCTATAAGCTTTATTTTTGTAATTATATATTAGTTTTAGTCTTAATTGACATATAAAAACAAAAAATGTATATTTTCTTAAAAATTCTTAAAAATAATCAGGATTAACATAAAGTAACATTTTATATTTTTGATACTTTTTTTTCGCATAATGCCTATAAAATCCGAACCCTTAAAAATAAGTTCGCAAACCAGCATAATTTATGTTGATCAATACTTTTTCTATGCAATGCAACACTATTACTACACTGGAATCACACAGTGTAATCAATTTTACCATTGAAAAACTGAATTTTTCAAAAATATTGATAAACCTGGTATTCTTTGGTTATACCACTGGTATTCTGTACTGATTTTAGTATTTAACTTTCACTAAATTAAGTTAGCATTATCCCACAGTATTATCAAACAACATGACACACCAAATCCTGGTACAATTTGATAAACCGTTGCTTACTTACCTCTGCACTGGTATTTATGTGGTACATTGGATTTTTTTCCACAGAATATTCATTTAATTAAACAAAAATAATTAAGTATATGAAATCTTGCCCCAAAACCCCCAGGAAGAAAAAATATATTAATAGACTTTTCTAAAAAATATCAAGGAACCATATTATATACATTAAACAAGAGATATGGAACATGTAAATTTTTGCGGTATTCTGTGGTAAATACACCTGTAAAATCATATAGTGTTACACAGAGTAAAATAATAAAAAATAGGGCGCACATTTACTAGCATATATAGTTAACTTAGAGAACACACCATTGAGTGCTAGCACTTTCCCCTTGACAAGTAAAATTGTCTGGTGTTACACAGAGTAAAATAATAAAATAAGGCACACATTTACAAGCAGAGATAACTTAGAAAACACACCATTGAGTGCTAGCACTTTCCCCTTGACAAGTAAAATCATTTGGTGTTACACAGAGTAAAATAATAAAGTAAGGCACACATTTACAAGCAGAGATAACTTAGAAAACACACCATTGAGTGCTAGCACTTTCCCCTTGACAAGTACTGTATAATCATGTGGTGTTACAAAGAGTAAAATAATAAAGTAGGGAACATTATCGTTTCACATTAGTTTCTTTACTTTTCCTTTTGCAGCTTCGTTAATATACAGTACCCCTTCTCCAAATAAGCCCAGCTCTCCAATATACCCATCTCGCCAATAAGACCCTCTCCAACAAGCCCCTTTCTCCAATAAGCCCCTTTCTCCAATAAGCCCCTTTCTCCAATAATTAAACCCAGCTCTCTAACAAGCCCCTCTCTCTTGAAGCAAGTCCCTCTCTCCGACAAACTCCTGTCTTCAACAAGCTCTTCAATCCAATAAGCATCTCCAGTAAGCCCCACCTTCAAACCCCTTCATCACTCTCTTTAATTTAAGCCTCCCTTGAACATGCTTATAATAAATTTGCCCCTGGGGGGTAAAATAAAGGACTTACATTAATCTAAGCACATTGCTAATTTTGTGTTACTCTTTTTAGAATTCTGTATATGAGAAAACTCTTGCTAGTCAGCAGATTGCTCCACCACACATTACCACAGACACGACACATGTAACGCCATTGAAAGTTCGACAGATACATCAGAAGGCCAAGACACGCTATGAAAATGAAGCAAGGAGAGAACTCCTTGGTGAAGGTATACATTACAGATTTTTCAAAACCTGGGAGTCCAACAGCTGTGACGTTGGTTAAATAACGTTTCTCTGGAATTCACAACAGCCACTCAATTGTAAAGATAAAAAACACTCCTTGGTGTTTCTGTATAAAAGCCCAAACTAGATTGAGTGCATGCTCTAGTGAACTCAACAGAAATGTTATTTAGAAAATGTTTGTTTGCTTCCCTCCACTACAAAAGTCAGTTTCATAGTGCACAGTTGCTCTTTTATGTTCGGCTCTATTATGGATCTCACTGTGGATTGCATAAAACATTTGTCCCATGGATGTCTGTGACCACACCTACATAGTTTTGCATACATAGTTAATTTGTACTGTACAATAATTATTGTTTAATTTTATAATTGTCTCTTGGACCTACAGTAATTGGTTTCTAGACTATTGCAGATACACAACCAGCATGGAGTCCTAGCTGTATAGCTGTTGTATGTGTTTATTAAATTGAAAAATTGTCTGATGTTGGACAGAGTAAAATAGTAAAGCAGGGTAGATAGATTAACCCATTGAGTGCCAGTACTTCCCAATGTCTCTTTTGTACATTAAAATCACCTGGCATTAAACACAATAAAATGGTCAAAAGGCCACATTGGGAGTCACACATGAGCATAAAATGAAATAATTGGGGTTTTTTATTAAGGTGAGGATTCACAATTACGAAACAGAAAATCTGCAAGGTACTCAAAAATTATTCAATTAATTAAAGTTTTGCTGGGTTCGCATTTAATATTCAGTTAATTTCAGATACAACGTCAGATACAACTAAAACTGACTGTTCTTTCTTGAGCAGCATCAACAACAACAGCGAAAACAACAACAACAACAACAACAACAACAACAACAACAACAACAACAACAACAACAACAACAACAACAACAACAACAACATCAACAACAACAACAAAATAATTCTTCTGTATTATTTTATAGTAATAGCAACACGGAAGAAAGTTTAGATGCGGTGTTAGAACATCATCAGAATATGCAGGAAAAAATTGCAGAAGAGATGATTCAAATGGCTCAAAATTTAAAACATAACTCACTAGTTGCCAGTAATATCTTAAAGAAAGATAATAAGGTAAGGTTAATTTAAGAGTGCATTATTTTCCTTGCTTTGTGAGATTAAAAATAAATCTACCCATCTCGCTGACAACCAATCAAGGATCACTATCACAGGTTGAAATCGTGTGTTGGAAATAGATTTCTATTTAATATATATATATATTTTTATTAATTTTACAATTATAACAATTGAAGGCTCAGACAACAGGACATATAAAGTCCTATATTAAGTCCTGGCTGACATGCTACATTACAACACTATTGAAACCAACGAAATCACAGACACATCGTTATAGATATAGTATGTACATAATTAAAATTCACTAAGACATTTCCTGCGTGCTCGCCTATTTTTTCCATACCAGCTCACTGTTCAGTCACTTAAAACTAAACTCAATAAACGTTATACTCAGAAACTTAATGCATGTTTTCATGTTGACAGACCAAGGCCCTTGCAAGAACTTGGAAAACATTTTGTTCTGAGTGTCGTTCTTGCTTTCAAAATTGTTGCTTAACACCCATGTCCCACCAAGGGCCAACAAGACATTATTCCTTGAATTTAAAACCATGGTCAGCTAGAACACTATATGTTTATGCACATAGAGTAAGCACGAAAATACTCCGTTGGTCTGCAGGAAGTTTTTGTTTCCAGATTGTGAAAGAAAATTCTTTTTTCCTGCTCTGCAGTGAGAGAGGTTTTTTTTTCGTCGGGTAGGCTGTTCCATAGGGGTACATTCCTATTGAAAAATAGATTTCGGAAAGAAGATGTTCTGCAGAGGTTTGGTCGGTAGGAATCAGTATAGAACTAAGGCGAGTATGATGACGAGACGGATTGCCCGGTAGATAGTCTTCAGGATTTAAGTCGTACTGACCAGCTTTACATTTGTATAAAAACATAACATCTTTTATGCGTACTTCCTCCAGGTTTTGGAAAATGCTTCAGACTTGGCCGACTCAAATTTCACAAAACTCAAACATGAAAGCGAAAGACTTGAGGAAATTACAAACAGACCGTGCTCGTTGTGGGTATGGACCATGTTAGCATGTGTTTGTATCGTGTTCATTATGATGATTATATTTATCCGGTTCTTTCCAAAAAGATAACATCTCATGAATTATAATAAATTATTCGTAACGCATAAAATAATTATAAAGTCTATTAATGATAAATATATAATGTATTTAAACCACAATGTATTTGCGTTTATTATGATGACACCTGCGTTAAAACCCGATAACCTTATGTAATTATAGATACTAGTTGCATCCTCCCCCCCCCCCAATGTTTTCCGAAAACGTTTGATGGATAGCTGCATAACAAAGCTGTGACAGTTATTTTACGTCCATAAAAGCATGGTAGGCTATAAATTAAGCTATATATATATATATATATATATATATATATATATATATATATATATATATATATATATATATATATATATATATATATATATATATATATATATATATATATATATATATATATATATATATATATATATATATATACGACAAGATTATATTGCATGAAATTTAAGGAAAAGAAAGTTTAAAGAACTACGATTTCAAGCAACAAAGGTGATCATATGGTGGCAACCTAACCCCCCTTCCCCCCTCTCATTATTTCGCAAAGTGTCCGGCACTGGAATTATTCTATGATCAAATTAATCGAACACAAATCAAATTAATCGATTTCAAATATTTAAAGGAGTTCGCACAAGGGCGAATGAAACTCAATATGCAAATGCAATAAATACCAGGTTTGTTGTTTTACTACGGCACAAAATAAGCCAAGAAACACTTGGGTAAGAACCAGGAAAAGTGTCCGAATTTTGGACACTTAAAGATGGCTCCAAATAAGAAGCAACCGGAACATTGATAAAATTTGCTGTACGGAAGTTTTAGAAAGGCCAAAGCAAATTTGGCCTTGTCGGACTATATTTAATGGTTACGTTGCAGAACAATTAGCATATCAATAGTGCCATTCAGCCATTGGTTCGAATGTTTGGAATGTTCCATTTGTCTGTTCATTGTTTTGTAAATTTCACTGTTCTCCATACCACCCACCGCTTTTACTTATATTAAAGTCAATAGAAAGGGTTTACTGATTTGGTCAAAAAGCATACTTTGCACATTGTTAATTTCAATGAGTTAATTTAACTCCAAATGAGTTATTATGAACCAAATTTAACTCCCAATGTGGAGTAAAATTTGGTCAAAAATAATTCCATTGGAGTTAAATTCACCTTCTGAAATGAAATCTGGCCGATTTCAGGTTTTGCCCAATCATAGATTAAGAATATACATATTTAAGGTGACTAGTCACCCCGTCTTATTATCTGATTTTTGAACATTTTCTGAAAAAATTTTTTTTTGTTATTTTGAGCCCATTAACTATTGTACATTAAGACTGCATGGTTGATTTTTTTCAAAAAAATCTAAATTAGGTGAAAAAAGCTCTCAAAGTTACCTTGTTTGAAAATTTACCCCATAGCAACGCCCTAGCAACGCATTTAGGTACAAAATTCACTCAAAATTTCGTCCAAAAATCACTTCAAACAAGTTTCTTTATGTTTCTCCTTTTGGTGTATGTGATTTAGAATCTTCTGACTTAGCTGCATTGCGATTGGTTGCTTTGGGGAGCCATGGCAACGCGATTTCTTTGTCTGTCTTGTGATCGATCGCATTTGCATTCACTGTGAAATTATCGACAAAAATCTTAGTTTTTTCTTAAATTCCAAGTCGAAAAGTTGCTGTTCTAGTTTCTCAAAGATTCGTTTTGTTATTTGGATTGTAATTTGAAGTCAATAAATGAAAAATACGAAGAACAGAGCGATAAAATCCGCCTTCGAAGACGGCGAAGAAATTCAAACATGGCGAATCTCGTGACAAAGAAGCTGGACATTCCAGAGCGAAAATTGGCTCTCAGACAGCAAACTTTGGTGTTAATACCGAAATTATATAGACACTACAAGGAAAGGAACAGTATTTATGGATTTGTCAATTTTATTTGGTGTCTTTGATAACATTTTGAAATGTCCTGACAGTGGAGATGAACATGGATATTCTCATTACATTGTTTTACAGTTTGTGTGCATAAAAATAGTTCTACCCAGAAAACTTTCGGATGGAAAAGGAATATCTGGTAAAGGTCAGCTTACTGATGGTAAAATAGATGTTCTAGAAAATTATTACGGTCTGGCAAACAGAGAAGCCAAGCTGTAAAGGCATCTCGTCTCCATGTTGATTCGACTGATGAGAACCCGCAGCATCATCTTTGCCCGAAAGGAAAGTTTGTGTGGCTATCAAAGAGATAGCGAAACATATAAACACAAGAATGGTATTTCAAAGCCCATTGTTGAGTTGATTATATTTGCTGATTTGGCTAACACTGTCTTGTTGAATAAATCACACATAGCTTGACCCAGAATGCAAATGAATGTTTGGGCGGGGTCATCTGGGACTGATGTCCAAAGTCTACCTATGTAGAGCAGGAAAGAGTAGCTCTTGTCACCTATTTAGCAGTCCTAAAATTCAATGATGGGGACATTTATTTCCTCAAAATTTTTGAAGATTTGGATATAATGCCTGGATTCTTCATTCGTAAAGGTGCCCAAGACTGTGACAGAGCGACGATCAAGCTGTCGGCCCAAAAGAGCTCAGAAAAGGTGAAAGTAAGGAGAAAGTCACTAAGACACCTCAGAAAGAAGTATTTAGATCATGCTGAGGGCATGGAAAGTGTAACTTATGAAGCAGATAGCTTCTGAACCTTTGTAATGTAAGAAAAACATGAATGAGAACTTTATTTGGATTTTCTCAGTTTCGCAATTTGACATGTGTCAGTGATCTTTGTGATACTGTAATCTTCTAACTATTCATTGCAGAAGGTTAATATTTGGCATACTTACTGACTGTAACATTGTCTAGTAACTGTCATTCTTCAATTTTCAATATTTTTTATCCTTAATGAATTATTTGCAAATTACCTTCAAAAGTACCAGATTAAAAGTTGAAATAATTGAAAATTCCAAAATTTGACACTAAATTTTTTTAAAAACCATTTTGAACAAAATTAAAGAAGGTCAGTTACTAGATAAGGTTCTAAGCTTTTTAAAAATATATCATTTATTTGATTCTGATGACTGGTTCTTGAGATATCATGTTTACGACGCTAGGCAATTATGGGTTAATTAACGGCCGCCATATTGGATAATTAGTGTAATTAACGACTTTGTTAAAAAATTTTTGCATTGGTCATTTTCTTTCACCTGACCCTTTCAGAAAATGATATTTTTGCATAAATCTACTTAAAAATTAAAAAAAAAGTTTCAAGAGGGGTTGACTACCTTAATCTATGGCCTAATGCATGCTTTCAGTTGACGATGTCGTCAGATGATGTTGACAGCGTATTTTTCAAACATTTAATCAAAGCTGAATCGGCCCGATTAATTGTTGTGTGTAAATGTACGTTCATGCACTGTCAAAAGATAACATGAGTGGGCTGACAAACAACTGAAACAAATTCAACGTTAAAAACAGCCGTTTAGTGTTTTTTTAATTAATGTACTTGTATGTACAGGAATAGGAAAAGTGAGCGACTAAAACTTGTGCGATTGTGTAAATTAAATTCTAGTTTGAAATAAGCTTAAAATTGGGTTTCTACCTTTCAAATTTTTACAATGTTTTTACAATGGCATTCGCCTACTGTATATTTACAGTTCGATTAACGGTCAAATTACTCCCAAAAATAACCAAAATGGAAAAATCCTACTTTTTATCGTTTTTGTTTTTTTTAAATATTTTTGATTGAAATTGTAATAATACTAACATGAAAAAATGTGAGATTTTATTGCTCTTTTCGTATCGATTTCTGATCCTTTCTTGCGCTTTTCATTTCACGATGTGGATTCAGTGGATAATGGTGTTTGATTTTCTGTTTCTTTCCTTTTTTGAACGGTTTATTCAATCCAGCTTCTTGTGCATTCTTCTCGAAATATTTCTCTTGTTTTCTTCTCTTTCGAGTCTTCTCGATGGATTTGTTTTTATCATCATTTTCGTCTATGGACTTGATTTTAGTCTTTTTGATTTGCATAGCTCTCTTTCTGGGAGCCAATGGGCCGTTGTTCAATCCAGGCATTTTACGATCATATTCTTGAGGCTCGAGCTGTCGCAGGTAAGAATGTCCTTCAATGTAGTCCATAAAGGCAGGACTTTTACGTTCCTTTTCATTCTTTTCAATTTCCGATGGTTCTGGATCAGATTTTTTAGCGAACGAAGACTGTTTCGTTTTCTCATCTGATCTTTTTCCAAACGACTGTGGTTTAACCGAGCTAACATCCTTCGTTGAATCTCTTTTAGGACATTTGGGTGAGCACTCTGAATAGCTTGCAGTGTTAGGGCATTTGGGTGGACATTTTGGTTGAGCCACACTTTCCGATTTAGTATTCAAGTCCTCAATTGGTGTTACTGGTGATTCAGTCTCATGCTTAATTACTTGCAGCCCATTTCTTTCAGACTTTTTTGCTTCG